ATACTAAAATCCAAAACTGCTTGTATTTTGTAAATATTACATTAAAATATGTACGTTTGTTACTGGAATAGCTGCATATCTGTAATAAACTGTGTTAAAGCCCCAGTGGTAAGAATTCAATTTCTAAATGCTTCGTGAATGAGCAAAAAAAAGTGTGTTAACCAAACCGATGGTGGATGAAGCTGTGGGCCGTAACCTGGGTAAGGGCATTCTATACGTTACAGGAATGTCCTATCATTAACACTGCCCTTCAGAAAGGCACTTAACCCCAGGCTGCTCTAGAGGGACTGTCCCTGTATTAAATATACCATGAGCTCATTTGCCCACAAACATCTGATGAATGACTAATGATGAGGAGAGTATCAATACTCCTATAAATTTTACGCCCTGTAACTCACAGCACCATTGATAAGTTGGGTTGGAGATCAATTCTGGGTTATATTCACAATCGTGCAAGGCTAGAGCCTAAAAGAACCAAATCATTCTTTCAGATCTGTTAGGTACGACTGTGTTCATTACCTTGAATACTACAGTATTACAAATCCCATAAGAGGACACTGATATTGCTAAACCTACAGAACTACTCGGCTGATCGGTGTTACTCTGATCTTTTTTGTCCATTTATCATTTATTCTATCAATCATAAACATTATTTTACTTTATATTGCACTTTTTATTTTTACGTTTCAATTAGTCTTTGTCTTTGTTTAAGAATTAAGGGCCATTCACATTAAAGATAATAACTATAACTCCAAAGAGGAAGTTCACTCAAAAATGAAAATCCTGTCATTATTTATTTACCCTACACTTATTAAAACTGGTTTGTGTTTATTCTTCTGTTGAACGCAAAGGAAGATATTTTGAGGAATGTTTGAAAAAGGATAGCAACAGATTTCAATACTATTTTTAAAATCTTCTCTTGTGTCCAGCATAAAATGCAAAATTAAATGGCACAGAGGAAATATTTTGTTTAGTTTTTTCAGTTAAAAGCAATACAAACACTGACAGCCAATCAGAAATCACTTCACCTTTAGGAGCTCGAGCATTTAAAGCAGCAGACAACACAACTGAAGCAAGCATTTATAGTAAATATAACACTATCATTCATCTGTGTGGATAATAATATCATTATCTTTATGGTTATAGTTTTCATTCTTAGTGTGCATGGCCTTTTATGTCAGGATCAGACTACACAGTAATTTTATTGTTACTAAAGTCAATTATTTAATACATCATGGAAATGAAACATGTCAAACGACACATTATTCCTGACCAATCATTGCTCAATGTTTGATGGCATGCATGATGTCATTGCGAAAGATGAGCAACACTGCAAATGAGAGTTTTGGTTTTGCTTTTAATCCAACTATCTAAAAATTCTTGAATCAATCAATTTTCTAGCTGAGTAATATATATATATATATATATATTAGGGATGCTTAGATCGGTATTGGCCGATAATCACATTTCACAACTCGATCGGTATTCCTTAATCTAGCCAATCTTATTAACCAATCGCAAGTGTTTGTTTACAGGCAGAGGGAGATACATCCGGGTCAAATCGTCAAATTATTAAAAGTAATTTTTATTATCGTTTTTTAATATTTTATCTATCTTCATTTTGTCAAGCTACTTCTGACCATTACATGTGTGCAACATCCTTAAATTATTCTCTTAGGCGAGATCTCATACTTAAAGAGTATGTGTGCTTATGCAATGTATCAGCCTATCACCATGACATGGAATCAGTACTCAATATCGGCTGCAAAAATCCTGATCGGAGCATCCCTAATACATATATATATATATATATATATATATATATATATATATATATATATATATATATATATATTAGAAATAGTACCTATAAATCCTTAAGTTTTCCTTGAAACAAGCAAAATAATCTACCAGCGGGGAGGAAGGGAAATAATTATTTTTTTAACTATAATTAATTATATAATATAATTAATTTAATTATATTTCAAACTAAAAACGTAATTATTGTACTTACACTATTTAGTCGATTCGAATGTTATCACTCGATTAAATGGGTGTTATCAGTGGTTATCAGATGATAGATATTGGCCAGTAGGGGTTATCATCCATCCACATGGTTAATCAGCTATAGATTACATACAGCTGCAGCCAGAAGTTAAAATGAATTATTTATATTATCTATTAAATTTCCCATTAATTGTGTTTTATTAACGTCTACCCCTATCCCAACCCTAAAACCAACCGTCACAGTAATGCAAAAATAGATCTGGATCTGGAGTCATTTATAATAGCATAGCTGATTAACCACGTTGATGGATGAAAACAGCCTTCTGAGCCTACTAGTATGCGCAGAAGGCCCCTACTGGCCCATATCTATCAGCTGATAACCACTGATATTGCTCAATTAATAAAGTGATAACATTCGAAGTGGGTGCACAATTGGCAGATCATTTAGCATGTTTTAACAAAAAACTCACTTAATTATGACTCAATTATTCAGAATAAATTTTAAAATCAATTTATTTAGAAAATTCTCGATTTAAGAAGACACTTGATGTAAGTATTTTTTCGATATCTTGACTAGAAACAGGACAATTTTTTTTTAAAGTGTAGCGACTGACTTCAGTTATACTCATAAAGATGCACTGTTGAAATAGCTCAACAAATGTGCCAATTTAGACATATGCTGCGTAGTCTGAACCAGAATTGATTTTGGAATTGTTTAAAAGAAACTTCAGAAACTCTGAAATCAAAACAACCCAGGTTAAAACTTACGAACTGAGGCTTTAAGCTCATTTGAATTAATAATAGTACTAGACTGTGCTAAAACAGAAGGGTGTTAAAGAAGAGAAAAAAACTGCTATGTACTTCAAGTAAGTTGAGATCATGACCAAGAGCTGGACATCAAGTATGTGGCATTTTGCTTAAAAAAGGGGGAGGATCTAGGAGGGAAGGAAATAAGCAATTATTTTAAACTATTCCTTCTCCAAAAACAGTCATCTCACGTGTTTATATTTCAGTTAAATAACACTTTATCCCCTAAAAAAGCAGGGCTGAGTCTGTCTGTTAATGAACCCAATCCCATGTTCTGAGGTCAGGCTCCATAGCACCTCTCTGGTAGACTGTTGGCTCACCCATAAAGCAGCTCACATGTTGTACGCCACATATATGGGGTCCAGCTGATCTGCCAGGAAAGAGTCTCTCAAGTGCATTCGCTGCTTTTCTCCTCTGGAGTTTATAGGTATGACGCCTGGGTCCACAATAACCACTACTCCCACAATCAGATGGTGCTCCTCTAATACTACATTGGTTACCAGTGGAACCAGGTCTAAAGCGTCCTGCTCTGATCCACAGAGCTCAGCCACCACCACCAGCAGATTTGTCCAGGTGAAAACGGCACTGCGGAGCGAAAAACAAGCATGTGTATTAGTATAGAGCATTTCAATGTGGTGATGTCGTTGGCCTATCAACATTTCCTGCTTCTTGTCAATGTATTTCACAACTGTGACAAGATGCAATTCAATCATAACTTTGTCTTAAAACATTGGATATGTGGATTTTTCTTGGAAACTATGGAAATAAATAAATGTCAAATAGGACAATGTTAGGACCATTGTTATTGTTTACATTCCTCAAAAGGTCTATAGCAGATCTGTGACATTGAGACAACACATTACAACAAAGTTTAACTAGTACAGAAAGCATAATGTGGCCCTCTTAAAGCAAAGTTACCTTTCACCAATGCTGCGGTGGGCACGAGACACACTGGTCTCGATGTCAATTGGATGATATCGCAGACCTCTCAGTTCTAAAGTCTCGTCCAGATAGCCCACCACAAACAGAGCATCATGGCGATCTAAACAGAAAGAGATATAGCCAGGCATATTTTTACATGAGCATTCATTTACTGCACTGAAAAAAAGGATTCTGACCCCTTGTAAATGTTACATGTTTTTATCTGGTTAATTTCACTGATTTTAATGTGTTATTTAATCCTACTTATTTTTTATTATTAATTTTCAAATTCACTGCTTTTGTTTAAAACAAGTTAATTTCATTCAATTAAAAGTAATTAGAAAAAAATACGTTTCATTTAATTTCCATATACTATCCGGTCTGCGCATGTGCAGACACTTTTTTTCCTGAAGGCGCCAAGGCGGGGAGATTGAACGTGATGCACTCATTTGAATGCTGCATCCAGCTCTGCATTTTCGGTAAGTAATCAAGATATAATCATTGGTGTGTTATATTTGTTACTTAAACAGGGTTCTGTTTACACTTTTAAACATTTTATAGAAAAATGTGTTTAGCTAATGCTAAATTGGTATGTTTTTATATCAATTAACGTTACATTAAATTAAATTACAACTAAGGTTTAAGCGATTAGCTTAACTACGTGAGTTGTGTAAGGTTAGTAAGTTAACTTAGCTTAAGTGTTAAATGCTTGGTGAATTCAGTGTTTGTCTTGATTATTTATTAGTTTGTGGAAGCCGAATAAAAGCAAAACAGTTTTACGAATGTTAACGTGTTAATAGTAGCAGCACCTTCCTTGCTGTCTAGGCTTGTAACGTTACGTTACGTTAGACTGGCCAAGCCTAACATTACATAACGTTATTCCTGACTGGCTGTAAGCATTTCTTCTAATCTTGTCAATGTGTTAACATTAGAACAAAATAGACCTGTGAAATCATGTTGGTAAAATGTGGTTAATGTGCACTGGCGGCAAGAATTTATGTTTCTACATAATCATAATGACAGGCATAAGTTACGTTGGGTACCTGAATTTATCGTTTCTTTAAAAGCTTGTATTTTTTTTACACCCGTAGACCCGCCCCTACTCTGCCGCTGACTGGCTCCGACCGATCGTGACGTCGCTCCACTTGCGCAAACCTAACCAAAGAGCTTCTTTGACCTAACCAACGATTGCAACGAACACTAGCCAATCAGAGGCAGGTCTTCGCGGCGTGCGGGTAGGAAAAGTAAACAAGCTTCTCTTTCGTGGCAGCGGCATGGGTCGCAGTCCTCGTGGACGGTCTCCGACTCGCCTTATCAGAGTTTAAAACGTAAAGGTGGGGGTGAAAGTAGATGTAGTAGAAGCATGCAAACGTTTCATAACTAAATTGCAGGAGATTTGCAGATGACACGAGAGGACCAGCTAGTACGACCACAGCCGATAGTCCAGTGAAAGACCAGGGTTTAGCTAGCAGGTTGATGTTGTTCAACTTTGTTTCTGCTCTAAACACAAAGACCAATTATGTTGGCATTGCATTTATTGCTCCCAATTTTAAACTAATACTTTTAGTATGGAAGTGGAACATGACAAATCTAAATACTAATAGAGTTAGTGATATGGCATGAAGACAGAATAAATAATTAATTAATTTTAATTAAATTAACAAATTAATTACATTTACAAAACTAAATTAAATTAGAGCTGGCAGGGGTCTTGACTTGTTGACTCAGTTATAATATCTCACAATGTACTTAGTAGTAGTAGGCTTGTGGACTGTGGACTTTGTTAAGAGATTTTTCTGTTTCTGATTTCACAAACAGTTTATAATAAATCGCCATATAATATGATCTGACACAATGTAAATAACCTTACACAATTATTTATTCTAAATCACTGTACATGTGTTTATATTTCATGCATTGTTGTACAAACAATGGTAGTTAATTTAAGAAACATTGATGAGGTAAGCACATGCTTGCTCCCTGGGTTTTTACATTGCACTTTGACCCATTGTAAATATAAAAAAAAAAAATATTATTAAGGTTTAAATAAGGATGCAGGATGCTGGTCCAGTTTTGATTTCTTGCCATTACTCTTGATTGATAGCAATACATCTGGCCAGAACACACTGTACACCTAATATAAGAAAATTTGATTATATCTATTTAATAGCTACAAAATATCATTACACCAATGGATGATCACAGTGCTCTTTGTCTTCTGTTGTTGTTTTTATGTGTGTAGATAAATGTTGAATTCCAGCGCATAACAACCGTCCCACTTGAAACAACCTTTATGGCTCAGTTGGACAGCCATTTACCCTAGCTGACATCTATTTTCAACAAAAAGGGAGGTGTTTCTGACCAAAAACTAGCCAAACATCTGGCGATCTTGAAAGAGGTAAACATGTTTTTACATTTTAGTTGAAAATATCATATACACTGTGGAGAAACCTGAAATGTACCTGTCTAGTGCCAGCCTTGATTATTTGTAAATGACAAGGTTCCTAAGGCTACATCCACACTACTACATTTTTGTTTTAAAACGGATATCTTTTGGTACATTTGCACCTACCATGCAGACTGAACTGTCACCCTATCGCCCTACACATTCAGACCTGAAAATGAAGTCACAATACACTAACATTCTTTAGCTAAAGAAGGCAGCCCATTTACAGAATGTATCATGAAGTCATTGTGTATATATTTTTGAGGTTACCACAGGTTTAAAGTATTCTACAGTTTTTAGACATTTTTTATTATTTATTGTATTTTAATAGTTGTTGTCCTTTTACACAGGCTACAAGTGACATCAATCTTAAAAGGGCAGTAGTCCTCAAGGCACTTTGCATCTATCTTGGTGAGGATGATGAACATCTCATTCAGGAGTATAAGGCAAGTCATTGTAATTGCATTTATCAGTCTGATGTACTGTCTTGTATTATAAAATGTTTTAAGATCCTAATGTCACTAACCCACTAGTTAGAAGAAAATACATTTAAAGGGGCACTCAACAAAAACAAACCCAGTGCACAACAAAATCAGTGTGTTGACACCAAAACTATGGCAGCTGTAGTCCTACACAGTCTGCATGCTGTCGTGTTTTGGGGTCTAAAGCTATTATAGTGTGGAAGCCTGCTGTTTATTTAAATCAACTAATGCAAAACTTGAAAAATGCTCTAGCCACTAAAGCATGTCACTACAGAGGATCATACTGTGGTTTTTATGTTTTAGTCCATTGATGATGAATGCATTAAAGGAGAACTCTGGTCAATTTTAACATTGAGCTCATTTTTTTGTAAATTTGGAGTGCTTTCAGTACAGAGAACCTGTTTTTTGGTCCACAGTAGTCGATTGTCGAGTTCAAGTGCATAGGTTTAGTTACCTATGATCACGCGTGTGATCTCGACAATCGACTACTGTGGACTTTGACTGAAAACAGGAAATAAATTAAGATATGTGCGCTGGCTGAATTAACATCACTTTTATTCATATCTTTCACATCTGCTGCTGTCAGAGAATCACTCACATGGCTGGACATTTGTAATGACACATCAAGGATGTTAAGAGGCTAAAAGCATGTTTAAAACTTGCCCCATTGAAGTCAACAGGGTGCCAATTTTAAAAAGAGCATAACACTGTGTAGGCAACTCCGATTTCTGCCGTTGTTCTCTGTACTGACAGCACTCCAAATTAACAAAAAAAATTAGCTCAATGTTAATATTGACCAGAGTTCTCCTTTAACATTATGAGAATATTTGTATAAAATCAACAATTTGCTGCAGAGTTTTCAAAGCAGGTAACATTTTCTAAACACACCCTGGTGCATTCAAGAAGTCTGACATACAATAGTTATTAACAGACTCTGACAAACTTTATGTTGAGGAAATGAAATGCTGCAGAGTAAAATAACATGGATGTTGTCACAGGATGATGTACATTTGTCTGTGTCTGGACTGGAGATGTTCAGTAATTGGCTAAAACATTTTAAACCATCAGTTTGGTTCTTAATACAATAAGGCAGGCTTTATTCATAACTTTTCTTATTGTTAAATTAAAAGACCAAAACCAACAATGTGTTAGTCCATCTCTCAATCCATTCTGACTTCTGTGTCTGCTCCATTTGCAGAAAATTTTGGATATTTTTCATAAAGCCATAAAAACAAAAATCTGTGGTTTGTTAATTCACATGAACCTTTACTTAACTGACAAAAATATTTTCAATGGTTTTACTGACCAGTGTAATTATGTATTGTAAATATAAAGAAATTTAGAATTTGCAGGTCATTAAAATCTATTACATAAATTCATGTTTTTCTTATATTCTACAAATATACAGGACATTGAAGGAGATGGCATCCAGAGAGACCTGCAGAATTCCACCATGGGCGTATATGTCATCAACAAGGAGGGTGGAGAAATTGGAGCACATGATGACATTTATGTTGAAGGAGAAATCATTCTGGACAACATTGGATCTGTAGCCCAAGCATCTGCAATGATGCTGGGAGTCATCTATGTATTGAACTTGGCCTACCCCAAAGAGCTGAAATACTCTTATGAATTCATTCAAAATGTGCTCTTGAAAATGGATGGAGAAAGACTTTCCCCCAAAGTCCTTGGACTAAAGAACAAAATCATTGCTGGACTGTAGGATTTCTTCAGCCGCTCATGTAAACGCTGCTAAGCTGCATTTTTAAATTTGGTTTGGGAGGCGATAGAAAACATATAGTATGATGTAAAATGCAGCCCTAGAAAATGTTTCAAACTGAAAACAAAGTGAGTGGTGGACTGTAATACATAGCCACTGGTGTGAACATTTAAAGTTGTCATTGGATTTAGTGGAATATTCACCTGAAATAAAAATTGCAATCCTGTAAATAGGCCAGGTTTCTATCCACACTCAGCACAAAAAGTATCCATCCATCCATTAATGCCATATGAATATTAGAAGTTAAGCGCTTTGAGATAAACAGTTGATGATGTCTGCACCATTAAGGCATTGCATAAGAAGAGGACACAATGAGATGACATCATTAAAGAGCTCCAGTCAAAGTTCAAACAATGGGGAACCATGTGTAAAACATGAAATTATGACAATTCTTGTTAGTTTCATGTGAGAATGTTACAGCCTCCTCATTGCTTCACGCAGATGTGATGTTTTCATTTGATACTATTTTTATTTTTTTTAGAGTAGCTTAAGCTTCAGTGGTCATTTAAGTCACGTTTTATTTTATTTAGTAAGTCTGTTTCCATATTTATACACCAACTTTTTCACCTCAGCCAAACATAAAATCTATTTTGTTATATAACAATCTTTTTTTTTAATTAGTATTTTTTGAATGTAACTACAGTTTTTTGTAATTTTAGCATCAGGTCCTCAGTGTGCACTGTGTTGCAGCTGTGGACAGTTCTTGTACTATAGTATTTTTTGTTCTGTATAGTACTGGTGTATTTTGTTACTTGTATATGTTTTGTTGTGTGTTAAAAGGCTTCCTTCCAAAGTTCTCCTGTGTGTGTATATGTATACAGCCACTATTGTGAATATTTAAAGCTGCTCTAATGATGTTTTGGAATATTGACTCAATGTAAGTTTGCAGTTAAATATAATCTCACGCAAGTTACAAACAATTTGAGAAATGATTACTGATGTACATTACTGCCATTCTTTGAGAGAGCAAAAATATCTCTTGGATCACAAAAATAAAGAGTTGAAAATATTGGGTTTGCTTTATTTGTCTGAATATTAATGAAAGATACAATAGATAAAAAAAATATTTTATAAAAATAATTTTAATATGTAGAAATTAAACGATTAAATTGATCTGGTTGCACAATTAATTTGAGTTAATTCTACTCAAAATAGTTTAGCTAGAATTATGAATATAATTAATCTGAAATTACTGAAAGAGATTAATAAACTCAATGTATAAAATATAAGTAGAACCACTTTATAAAATATAAGTAAACTCAACTTAAAAATATAAATTCACTTAACTTAAAAAATATATCTGGATTTAGATAAAATTATTTCGTGCAACCCCTTGACGTAATAAAATTAAGTAAATTCAACATAACATTTTTTTCAGTGTGTTGTGTGGTTAAACATTATGTCATAGATAAATAAGGAATCTATAGTGGCAAATGTCTGAGACCTCTAGTTGCAATGTTATAGGTAACACTTTATAATAACTTCACACTATGAATCATTTATTAAGCATTAGCAAATAGTTCATTCTTAATTTTTATAGCATTAATGGACATTAGTAAGTAGTTTTTAACTACATCTACAAATGCTGTATTCTTGACTTAAAAGCAAATGTAAAATGTGCTTGATGATTGTATTTTTATACTTTGTTAATGATTATGTTTTTCATTATTACTAAATTAAGTATTTCATTATTTACAAATTAGTTATTTAGGAGTAGTTGGTGGTTTTTAAGATCATTCAGAATGAGTTAGCAAATGATTAACAAACTATTCAAATTAACACACACATATATATATATATCTATATATATATATATATATATATATATATATATATATATATATATATATATCTTTTTTATTCAAGAATTTAGTAATAGTTGCTCTGAATGTTAATAACTGCTTTATTAACACAGTTTCATACAGTTCTGTAACCTAATCTAAAGTGAGAACTATTTATGCTTTAATAATCCTTTCTAAAAGACATCATTTCATTACTCCCTCTCACCTCCACTGGCATCTGTGAGTTCAGTTCTCTTGACAAAGCCCAGGTATCCAGTCCTGGCCCAGAGCGTCTGAGGATCTCCAAAGCTCAGTTTAGTGTTGAAGTGGTCAGCCTGCAGATTTTCCTCCCCATATATTGTGTAGTATCCTGTTGCATTATGAGGACTGTTCACCCAAATCTGTAAGAGATAGAAGGGGACAAGCAAAGAAAATGATGTCGTCCTTAATAAAGTTTTTCTAAAGGTGCTCATACAGGGACAAAAACAAAAAAACACAGGGGCATGCTTGGTCGCATCTAGAATGAGAAAAAGTAATTTGAATAATTATCTGTCTCTATATAAAGTATACAGACTTCATTTAAGGCAGGGAAAGTTTGGGAAAAACATGCTATAATAAATTTAAAAGACAGACAGAAACACAGACAGACAGACAGAGAGATAGATAGATAGTAGGACGTCACAATATATACTGTAGTTTCAGCATCAACACCGCAATGTGCGCACCCGCAATAGTCACATCGCAAAGATTTGCAATGTTGAGTCTGATTTATAGTTGAGCAAATATTTCAAGTTGATTAGTTGTTTCTAGTCCAAAGATCTACATTTCAAAGCAAAAACAAGATTATTTTGCTTACCCGACGAACAGATCTATTTACTTGTTTTATGGAAAAACTCTTAGTTTTGACATATCTTCAGACATTGAAAACAAAACAATATTTTTACTTGCTCTAAGAATTTTTAGATATTTGGACAAGAAACGAGATACAGCAAAGTAAGAACAGCATGTTCTGCATTGTGATTATCCAATTTCTGTACCTGAATACAGGTTAGACTCCCCAGAGAAGAGTCAAATGGTGCTAGTTAAACTGTGTTGTGAAACTGTATTCATATCACAATATTTATTGCAGAAAAATAAAATATCCCAATATCAGACTTTTCCAATATCGTGCAGCCCTAATAGACAGACAGACAGGCAGACAGACAGCTCAACTGAAACACCTATTTACAATAAATATATTACTATCATTCATCTGTGTGGATAATAATATCTTTATGGTTATAGTCTTCATTCTTAGTGTGCATAGGCATTTTATGTCAGGTTCAGACTACACAGTAGTTTTTATGTTACTACAGCCAATTACTAGATACATCATGGAAAATAAACATGTCAGACGACACATTACTAGATAGATAGATAGATAGATAGTTAGATAGATAGATAGATAGATAGATAGATAGATAGATAGATAGATAGATAGATAGATAGATAGATAGATAGATAGATAGATAGATAGATAGATAGATAGATAGATAGATAGATAGATAGATAGATAGATAGATAGATAGATAGATAGATAGAAAGAACGACAGACAGACAGACAGATAGACAGAGAGAACGACAGGAACAACAGACAGATAGAAAGACAGACAGACAGACAGAACGACAGGAACAACAGACAAATAAGATAGAATGACAGACAGACAGATCTCATATGTCAACGCACCTCCCCCAGGTGAGAGTCCCCTAGCGGTCCTCTAGTTTCTGGATTGACTATGACCACCCTCACACCTGGAAGAATCTTAAACGAGGAGAAAGTGAAAGATTTAAAGCATTATCAACAATCTTTTCAATTCACACTTGCTCTAACAAGAACAGAAATGCACTTACTGTTCCAGACTCCATGAGTGGAAGCGACTGTGGTGCTCCTCGCTCTACTAACCTCACCCTAAAACACACAAACACCAAGAAGAAACTTTATTTAGTCAGAGAAACAAGCAGCTCTGGAACAAATCTGAGTATTATAATAGATTTAATCGTGTGGCTTTTAAAAGAATGCAATTTGTATGACTCTACAAGTGTCATCAAACACAAATCCAACTGGCTGAGTCAGGAACACAACATACACGTCATATTGTGCTCTTTAAGCTCTGTTTGATTTTGAGTTTGAGTTTGTCTTTCTCTCACCGGTCGTGTCGGAGAGACTTCATGTCCACATACACAGTTGAGGGGTCTGGTCCTGTAGTACCCTGTAAAAAAACACAAATCCACATCAAATAACTGACACATCAGGTTGGACACACACACACACACACACACACACACACACACACACACACACACACTATGGCCAATTTAGCTATTTTAATTCACCTATAGCGCATGTCTTTGAACTGTGGAGGAAACCGGAGCACCCACCCAAAGGAAAACTCTACACAGAAATGCCAATTGACCCAGCCGGGGCTCGAACCAATGACCTTTTTTCTGTAAGGCAAACGTGCTACCCACTGCGCCACAAATCTCTTAAGTTAACTAACAAATTAAAATGTTGCAGAAGAAAGCTTAAGAATTGTGTTGTTTTAGCTCATTTTAAAATAAGTAGTTTAAACAAGCAGTAAAAATCAATTTTTAGTGTATAAAACAAGTTTATATTCTCCACTCGTTTTTTAATGTCAATGCAGTTAGGGATACAATTTAATTTAATAATACATTTAATTTAATAATGACAATGCTTATTAATCAACTCGTAAAAACTAGTAAAAAACATAACAAAGCCAGAGTTAGGCACAAGGGCTAATTTTCATCTGTTGTCCAAACAGTTCGAAAGTACACCCAGAATGTTGTTATTGCAGAATAAAGCAGATTCAAATGAATGTGACTTTAAGTTATGGATATTAATGTTTTCAGTGACGGTCAAGGTGATTCGAAATATCCGGATGAGCTTGTGATTTTTAGAGCTGTTATCTTTTTGAATGTTGAATGTCGCGACTGACCAATCAAAAGCGAGTATGTAATATGCAATGTAACATGTAATCTGGCACCTAAACTTTGGAACAGCCTTTCTAGCACAGTTCGGGAAGCAGACTCACTCTGTCTGTTTAAAACTAGATTAAAGACACATCTCTTTGCATCCAGAAATCTAAATCCTCTAAAGGATTGTTTGTCTGCATTATTTAGGGCAACCAAAGCCTGGAATGTTTTCCAAAAGACATTGTTATTTGAACGGCATCTACACTTATGTTTGTCTGTTTTTCATTATTCCTGAGGGTTCCATAATCCTGGACCAGGCCGTATCCTGAGCAGATGCTGTTGTGGTCATGGAGGAGTGGAGAGCATGAGACATACAGTGATAAATGAGTCTACACATGGGCCAGCCTGAACACCCGCTGGTGACCTACTCACTCCTGCAGCTTCTCCACATTGGGGGTCCAGGGTTCATCAGCCTCCGGTGCCTAAAGTGCAGCTCTGCACAGGACGTCTTGCCAGAGAAAAAATTATCATGCCCAACTTAGTCTGGTTTCTCTCAAGGTTATTTTCCTTTACTTTTGTCAATTGGTGAAGTTTTTTCCTTGCTACTGTCGCCACTGACTTGCTTGGTTGGGATTTGTGGAGCTGCGCATCATTGGAATTGCTATTCAGTGTTTGGACTTTTAGGAGTGAAATTTAACCACAATAAGCTGGACTAAACTGAACTTCAACTCTGAAAACTGGACTGACACTTTTTCAATTTATAACTATGTTAAGCTGCTTTGGCACTGTCTATACTGTAAAAGCACTATAGAAATAATGATGAATTAAGTTGGATTAATAAATGACTATAACAAATACTGAATCTGTCACATTATGCCGAACAGAGTAGATCCCAGATTTTAGGTTCTGATGGGAAATTCTTTTTTTTAAGTGAACCATCTCTTTTGGACAGTTCTTTTCAGTGAACCTGCTGAAAAAAACATATTACCAGCTCTTTTACCCTACAACGTAATGACATAATTCACAATGAAATAATGACTATCATCTCTGGCTGGTACTCAACATATCTATAATGTCAGTAATCATAATTCCAAGCGATTCCAATCACCATGATCTGAAAGTTTTGTAACTCATATGAAGCATGATTTAAAGCGGTAATGTCAATCATCTAGACAATGCAGTGAACTCTAACAAACCCAGAATTACAGCAGGTGTAAAAATGTACCTACCTGTAGGCAGATAGCCAGGTTAACTCTCG